CTACCTGCACCTGCACAAGATCATCCACCGCGACCTCAAGTCGCCCAAGTGAGCCGGGGACGGGGCTCGGGGCACCCCTGGGTGCCCCCGGGCGTGGGGACGTGCATGGGGCGGGTGCCGTGTCCCTCCTGTGCTGTGCCCGTGCTGGTGCCCATGAGCTGTGTCACCGTGGCAGTGCCACTCCTGCCCGTGGCGGTGGTGTCCCCTCCACAGGAGCACGCTCCTGGCACTGCAGTCCATGCAGGGGCCATGCCATGGTGGCCTTGTGCCCGTGGGGTCCCACGTCCATTCCGGAATCACGTCCGTGCTGGTGCCATGTCCGTGGCGGTGTCCCATGGCAGTGCCATGGCCATGGTGGCATTGCCCCATGCTGTTGGTGTCACACCCCAGTGCCGTGTCTGTGCTGTCCCCTGCCCTGTCCGTGTTGGTGTTGTCCCATGTTGGTGCCATGTCTGCATTGTCACTGTTGTCCCCTGCCCTGTCCCTGCTGTCCCCCCGTGCCGTGACCCGGTGGTGCCCGCGGCGCTGCTGTGCCCGTGTCACTGGTGTGTCACTGCTGTGTCACTGCTGTGTCACTGGTGTGTCACTGCTGTGTCACTGCTGTGTCACTGGTGTGTCATTGGCGTGTCACTGCTGTGTCATTGGCGTGTCACTGCTGTGTCACTGGTGTGTCACTGCTGTGTCACTGGTGTGTCACTGGTGTGTCATTGGCGTGTCATTGCTGTGTCATTGGCGTGTCACTGGTGTGTCACTGGCGTGTCACTGCTGTGTCACTGCTGTGTCACTGGCGTGTCTCTGGCGTGTCATTGCTGTGTCATTGGCGTGTCACTGGCGTGTCTCTGGCGTGGTGCTGAGCGATTGTCCCCAGCATGCTCATCACCTACGACGACGTGGTGAAGATCTCGGACTTTGGCACCTCCAAGGAACTCATCGACAAGAGCACCAAGATGTCGTTCGCCGGCACCGTGGCCTGGATGGCGCCCGAGGTCATCCGCAACGAGCCCGTGTCCGAGAAGGTGGACATCTGGTGAGGCTGCGGGGACACTGGGGACACAGCACGGGCAGGAAGTGGGGACAGGAGACATTGTGGGGGTGCCAAGGACACGGGGGGCACCAGAGATCAGGACACTGGGGACACTGGGGACAGCAGAGTGGATAGCAGTGCGGGGACAGCAGGAGGCCGCTGTGGGTGACGGGGCCGTGGGTGCCCACAGGTCCTTCGGGGTGGTGCTGTGGGAGCTGCTGACGGGCGAGATCCCCTACAAGGACGTGGACTCGTCGGCCATAATCTGGGGCGTGGGCAGCAACAGCCTCCACCTGCCCGTCCCCTCCAGCTGCCCCGATGGCTTCAAGGTGCTGCTGCGCCAGTGCTGGTGAGTGCCCGGGGACGCCCCAAGGGACGCCCTGGGGACGCTCAGTGGACACCCCTGGCATGGGGGACCCCTCCACAGAAGGGGCCATGGGCCCAGCACGAGGCACCTGCCCCCGTGGGCAGGGCAGGGGGGTGCTCTGGTTGCAGCAGTGCCCCCCATGTGTCCTGTGCACCCTTCTCTGCCACTGCTCCCCAAAACCTTCAGGACCCCCCAGCACTCCCAACGTCTCCCAGAACCCCCCTGAGACCTCCCAGAGCCCCCCCAGCACCCCCCAAAGCCCCCAGCCCACCCTCGGTGCCGTGTCCTTCCCCCCAGGAACAGCAAACCCCGGAACCGGCCGTCCTTCCGCCAGATCCTGCTGCACCTCGACATCGCCTCGGCCGATGTCCTGTCCACCCCCCAGGAGACCTACTTCAAATCCCAGGTACCCGGAGCTCAGCACGGCCCGTGCTCCAGTTCCACGGGGCCGCAGCACCCGCGGGGCAGTGACGGGGCAGTGACGGGGCAGTGACGGGGCAGTGACGGGGCAGTGACAGGGCAGTGACAGCGCTGTCCCCGCGCCGCAGGCCGAGTGGCGGGAGGAGGTGAAGCTGCACTTCGAGAAGATCAAATCGGAGGGGACGTGTCTGCACCGGCTGGAGGAGGAGCTGATCAACCGCCGGCGCGAGGAGCTGCGGTGGGGCCGGGCTGGGGGCACTGGGAGCACTGGGAAGGGGCAGGGGGACACCGGCGGTGGTGGGGCACAGGGAGGGCTGTGGGTCACCGTCCCTGCTGCGGGGCCATGAGATCCCTGTCCCTGTCCCCCGGCGGGTGTCCCCGGCTCCGCGTCCTGACGCCACGCGTGTCCCCAGGCACGCGCTGGACATCCGGGAGCACTACGAGCGGAAACTGGAGCGAGCCAACAACCTCTACATGGAGCTCAGCGCGCTCATGCTGCAGCTGGAGCTCAAGGAGAAGGAGCTGCTCAGGTGGGTGGGCAGCACCCCCAAAATCACCCCCAGCACGCCCCGTGCCCATCCCATGGCCACTCCTGCCCGTGGCCAGCCCTTTGTCCGCCCCACGCTTATCCCGTGGCCACTCCCGCCGGCCATGGCCGCTCCCCGGGCCCCGCTTGCCGCGGGCAGGGGCGCGGGTGCCCACGCGTGGCCCGTGGCAGGCGGGAGCAGGCCCTGGAGAAGCGCTACCCCGGGCTCTTCAAGCCGCGGGTGCCGCGGGGGCTCCTGCACGGCAACGCCGTCGAGACCCTCATCAAGAAACGCAACGTGCCCCAGAAACTCTCGCCCCACGGCAAGCGGTGAGCGGGGAGCGGGGACCCTCGGGGGGCACCTAGGGGTTGGGGGAGATGGGGGAAAATGGGGGGCAAATGGGGAGAAATGGGGGGAAAACGGAGGTGCTGGGGATTTGGGCTGAGGGGACGTGGATGTGGGGTCGTTTGGGGCACTGGGGGAGCGCATTCTGGGGTTGGGGGTGTCTGGGCCCTTTGGGGAGGGGGGGGATGCTCCGGGTGTGCAGATGTTTGGGGTCCTCGGAGTGGGGTTCTGGGGTGCTTGGGGCAGTTCTGGGGCAGCAGACGCCAGTGTCCCTTGCAGGGAGGGGGGATCTTTGGATATCCCAGGGCCCCCCCGGTGCCTGGATCCCCATCCACAGCCCTTCCCCGTGTCCCTCCCGTGTCCAGCCCCGACATCCTGAAGCCGGAGGTGCTGCTGCCCAAGCTGGACGCGGCCATGACGCAGGTGGCCCTGCCGGGGTGTCCCAAGGGCCCCCCGTCCCCCGGGCGCAGCCGCCGGGCCAAGGGGCGCCACCGCAAGGCGGGGCCCCGGGGGGGCTGCGGGGAGCCGGGACCCGAGGCCGGAACCCCCCGGGGTCCCCCCGCCACCGCCGCCAGCCCCGACATCCTCGGGGGCACCCTGGAGGCCGCGGGTGTCCCCCCGGCCACGGTACCTGATGTGGGACCCGAGGGGGCGACGGGCACCCAAGGGTCCCCCCCGGCGCAGCCCCCCACTCCCGGGGAGCCTGAACGGGAGAGCGGGGCCGGCCGGGGGGGGAAAGGGGGGGCCGGGCAGCACCTGACCCCCGCGGCTCTGCTGTACCGGGCGGCCGTCACCCGCGGGCAGGTGAGACCCCAGAGCCCCGCGACCCTTCGGGGGGGAGGGAGGACACGGGGGGAGCCCGGGGGGGAGAGGGGGGAATGGATCCCTGGATTTTGGAGAGGGGCTCGGGGAGGGGGCGTCAGGAATCCCCGCTCCCTCGCGGGGTGGGGGCGGGTCGGGACCGAGGGTCCTTCCCGAGGGGCACCAGGAGGACCCCAACGCCCCCTCCGTGTGCCCCCAGAAACGGGGGGTCTCGTCGGAGGAGGAGGAGGAGGGCGAGGTGGACAGCGAGGTGGAGCTGCCGCTGCGGCAGAGGTGGGTGCTGCCCCCCCCGCGGGTGCTCCGGGGGTGTCCGGACCCCCCCCGGGTCCTCACACCGAACCCCCCTCGCCCCTCCCAGGTGGCCCCCAGGGATGAGCAAGCGCCAGTCGCTGTCCACCTTCAGCTCGGAGAACTTCTCGGACGGGGACGGCGACGAGGGCCACACGAGCGAGCCATCGCACAGCGCCACGCCCGACGTGGGCAGCACCAACACGGACGAGCGCCCCGATGACCGCTCCGAGGATCTGCTGTCCCAGGGCTCCGAGATCCCGCTGGACGCGGCTCCCCCCGAGGGGCCCGGCCGCCGGCACGGGGGGCTCAGCCCCACCAAGGTGATGCCCCCCACCAGGGACGGGCACCGGGGTGGGGTGAGGTCCCCTAAGCCCCCCAGGAATGGTCCCCATGGGGTGGGGTGGGGTCTCAGCCCCCCGGGAATGGTCCCCGTGGGGTGGGGTCTCTGAGCCCCCCAGGAATGGCCCCCATGGGGTGGGGTGGGGTCTCTGAGCCCCCCACATTGGGGTGGCCAAGGGAAGGGGTCCCAGGCCCCCTGCCCTGGGATGTCCCCATGTCCCCGTTTGTGTCCCCCCAGGTCTCCGAGGACTCGGACTGTGACAGTGCAGAGCTGGACCACTCAGGCAGCGGCGAGGGGCCCCCCCGGCCCACAGCCCCCCCGGGCCTGTGACCTGTGTGCCCCCCACACCCCCACCCTGCACTCCCCCACTTGTACAGCCCCAAATATTTATATAAATATCTATTGCTCTCTACTGCGGCTGCTGCTGGGGGTTCGTGGCCTCCTTTGTTTGTGCAGGTCCCACTCAAACACCCCAAATTCACAGCGGGGGCTGAGCCTCCCCTTCCTTACTGGTGGCACTGGGAGGGGTTTGTGTCACCCCCGGGGGTCCCAGGGGGGACAGCAGAGAGGGAACAGAACCAGCAGTGGGTTCCCACTGAAGACCAGTTTGGGGGGAAAAGGGGAAGATCCCCGAAAATTCATCAGAGGGGTCAAAGCTCCGTCCCCCGTACGGGAATGGGTTCATCCCATTCCAAGGCACCCAAACTGGGCCAGACTGGGAGCACTGGGTTGGTTCTCCACCCCCCCCGGAAAGATCCCAAACACCAGCTGGGGTGGTTCATCCCTCTCCAGAACCAAACTGGACCATACTGGGAGCACTGGGAAGAGCCAGGGGGGTTTCAAATAAAGACTGAGACAGGCAGATCCATTAACCAAAATATCCTGCAGGTTCTATTCACAAGGAAAAGCTCCAGTCCATCTTTTTATTCAGTTTTTTTTTGAAAAATTTCCTGACGTTACAGAACTAAACTGAAATGTTTTTTTTTTTGTTTTTTTTTGCTTTTTTTTCGTTTTTCTTCCACTCTTACATTTCATGACAAAAACAGAAACTTCATGAGCCGAAAAAACGGGGAGAGGAGGGGAGAAGGTGCTGGGGGGGTGGGGAGAGGAGAGAGAAGCTTTATAAAACTAAGATCTGGGGTTCAGCAATTTTAAGAGCTGAACGAAGGAATTAAAATGCTTTTAATTTGAGAGGAAAAAATATAACCCCGAAAAACAGAACAAAAACAAAAAAAACAAAACAAAAAAAAAAAATTTTTTTTGAAACAAACTGAACCTGGTGAGTGGCGCGAGGCTGGAGGAACCGAAAATGTACAAACTAGTTTAAAACCTGGGTCGGTGCTAAGGGGCCGCAGATGGATGGCGAGGCGGGGGGGTCCGGGGCCCCCCTAACTGCTGCCCATGCCCCCGGTCTCCGAGGAGAGCCTGCAACGAGAAAAGGGCGTCAGAGGGACCCCCCAGCACCGAGACGTGGCAGGGACGCCCTCGGGGGACGGGGGCAGGAAGGCGCCACAGGGACCCCCTCGGGAGGGGGCGGGGGGCTCTGCACAAGCAGCCAGGAAAGGGAGGAGCCCCCCCGGCCTGGGCTGAGCGTGGGGGGCTCTGCTCTGAGGGTCTGGGGAGGGGGAGACCCCCGGGACCCCCCCGAGGGGGTGGGGAGGAGGCAGCGGAGGAGGGGGAGCGCAGGGAAAGGGCAGGGACCCCCCGGGTGGCAGGGGGTGCAGGGCACACACAGACACGGCAGAGGGTCCCCGAGCCAGCAGGGACCCCCGAGGCCAGCCCACCCCCCCCGGCCCCTCCGGGCTCGGCCCTCGCTGGGATTGAGGGGAGTGGGTGGGGGGAGACCCCCCGAGGCAGAGGGGACCCCCGGGCCGGGCCCGCTGCGGCACACATCTACCAGAGCAGATTCTCACCGTGGCAACTTTATTACAGGTACAGACAGTTAAGAGAGGACAGGTGAGGCCCCCCCAGGGCACCGGGGATGCAGTTCCCCCTCCCACGGAAAAAAAAAAAAATAATCACACACTCCCTTCCCTCCCTCCACCCCCTATCCCACCCCAAACCCCCACAACTGTGCCCAAACTACTCAAAAAAAGGAAAAAAAAAAAAAAAAAAAAACGGGAAAAGGAGGAGAAATGGAAAAAAAAAATTATAAAAAAATGTAACAAGCAACAACTACAGGCAGGCAGAGAAGGAATTGTGACCATCACAGGACAGAGGGACACAGTCTCTCGGCCGGCAAGGAAAGCTCTGCTGCTGCCAGGGCAGCGTGAGCTCCGTAAAAAAGGAAAAATCTAAAAAATACCCCAAAAATAATAATTAAAAAAAA